TCTCTCACACCTCTCTTTTTCCCTCTCCCACATGCACAAATACTTCCCGTAGTAACCCACGGCTTGTCTCCTGTGATGGTCCACCAGACAAGAGCCAGGCACAAGAGCTGTCATACATCTGGGCTGTTTGGTTGTCTACCTGCTGCTGAACACAGCGATTCACAGCAGGGTTCTGCCTTCTCTCTTGGCCTGGCTTCCAGTTTCAGTAACCACTCATAAGAGTCCATTCCCTCTGTCAGATAAAACTGAAATTGGGCAATGGACTCACAAGTCAGCTAGAGAGATGGGAATTGGTTTCAGACATCCCATCAATCTTGTTCTCTTAGGAAACCATTTTGGAACAGTTGTTGGCATGAAAGCCACTGATTATAGCATGGAAAAATACACACTTTTCTCTATAATACAAGAGTGTATTAAATAATTTTCATTCTTGCAGATCTGACTGAATGATAGGGAGTTAAATAGTTGATAAATCATTAGTGTTCCTATATTGTCTTTAGGCAAATTTTTAAGAAGAAAGTACAATAGGTAGTTCTTCCACATATCATTCAACAGTGTTAGTGTAGAACTGTAAAGCAGTCCATATGTGAACAGATTTTATTTTCAAGGGCAACAGGTCTGTCAGGGCCGGATCTTTGTAAAAATTCATAGCTAGGATCTCGGTGTAGCTTAGCCATTATGTTCTGCTTTTGATTTGTAGAATGAAAACTTCTGGTATGTTTTCATTAAAACTTAGGAAGAGTATTTTTTGCCTCTGAGGGTAAACACGGAATCTTAAAATAACTGGTACTACTGATGAGAAAAACTTTTCAAAGTTATATAAAATTACTTGTTTGTGTATCACAAGAGCCAACAAGTGAAACATGATTTTTAGGACATGTTGTACTTAGTATTGGAAATAATTATTACAATTAACTGTTGATGGGATTCCCTTATAAGGAAATTTCAGTGCATGGGATACATCAAAATACAATTCATAAGGCTGGGGTGGAGGATATGTTTTGGCACATAGGATGAAATATCAGCTTGGGCAGCTGAAGTATGTTTTTGTTAGATGTTTGTCACGTTTTCAGCTTTGCTGCCTGAAGGAGGTATGATAATTTTTTTTGCCTAGATACAAATATATGGACTAGTTGAACTTTAAAGTTTTCTGGATGCTGGAAATGAATGATATGCTAAGTTAGAGGAAGCATGGGATTTGTATATACAAGATTAAAATCTTGCATTTTTAACTATTTATAGGACAACAGTCTCAGTGAAAAGTTAGAATTATTTTGAAGATGAGGGATGAGTTTTTTGGTCATCTCTCCAAGGCAGGTAACTTTTTAAAGCTTCCTCCTGAAATGACTTGCTTAGAGCATTAGTAAATTACATTTAATGAAGAAAAAGTGTTAATATGTAATAATTGGGGGGCTTTACCGTATTTAAAAGTTCAGTTGAAACACATGGATAATTTTCAATATTGAGTAATGCATTCAGTGACTTACTCTCTAAGTTCTACCCATGTACACATGCACTGAAATAACTAAGGACCTGGAAAATTTAAATGCCAACAGAAATACACACTATTTTCAATTGGATTATCAAAAAAATATTTGTTGGTAGTTGCAGGAGTCTTATTTTTAAAAAATCTCTCTTGCATCACATGAGACTGTGGCAACTACTATATTAACAGGATAATTTGTGTTGAGGGAAGACAACACAAATTATAGTCTTTATTCTTGGGTTGCATTAAGATTTTTTGGAAAGAACTTGTATACTTGTAAACCAAAGTAGAGCTATGTAGTTTGCATTTGAAATAATGTCTCTGCAGTTGGTAGTTACTTTGGTTATATCATTTCATATCATGGAATTTTAAGAGTTCTGCCTTGTTACACTGGCTCCATGAGCTGCTAATTCATTAATAAGAACCTACTGTAAAAATATCTCCTCTTAAGAGTTAAACCTTGAATACTGAAATCACTGATCACTTTGTTGTTAGTAAGCTCTGTATGCTATGGCATCATCTATTTTAAATAGAACTAATTGCAATAGTTTACTGTAATTCACTGACAGTGAAATCTACTCCTACTTAGTATGTTTTATAATAGTGACCCCTCAAAATGAAACTTTTCTAATTCTGGAGCATTCCAAATCATTTATTAATTGGTCACATATTGTCAAATTTTACAGTGTATGTATGTACCTTGTATGATCACATAAGTATTGCTATTATAACAGAGTATATACTCAACAACTGCACAACTTCATACATTGTTTGGCATCATGAAACTGATTGCGTTGAGCAATAATAGATGTTATTAAAGCAGTATGGTCTCTATCTGCACAGTACTTTAAAAAAAGTTTAGAACATACGTAAACATGAAGATGCGCTGTTAAAAGTATTGGTTTTTTGTAATCTCTCGTCTCATTCATTTATAAAATCACTGGAATATTTTTCATTAAACATTGTTTTTGTTCAAAATTAGTCATGTATATGGATCCTTAAAATTACATTATTATGATACTGAATGAATATAAAAAGGTTCTATGTTCTATATTTCCAGTGTATTAAGCAAGCAATTTACAAGTTGTTCTCCCTAGGAGAGACTAGAAGGACAAAGGCACGCCTCCCAAATTAGTTTCTTCTGTACGCTTTCTCACTTGGAGCTCTTGGGTACAGGGTGATTGGAGAAGTAGCATGGTACAGGAGTTTATCTGCAGGATAGCCTGCTCCTGACCTAAAGATGGGCTCTGCAGTCCAGTCACAATGAGAGGTGGCACTTGTGCTGCAAGAGAGGCAATAAGCTAGAGCCAGAAGTAATTTAGTCCTGGTAAGTCTATCAGGTCTCGGGAACAAAGATAATTCCAGCAGACTTGAGTCACCAGATGCATCTACATTAGTGATTTAACATTTTGGAGAGCTTCTTTTTGTTGCAAATTTGCACTGGCATCTAGTCTTGGAATCCTGTTGCATGCGATTAAGTGTCCTACAGATGTGCTGAAAGCTGTTTCTCTGCTGGTGGAGCCGACACTTGGAGTTACACACTAGGAGGCCTTTCAGAGGGCACAAGGGCTTCCAGCAACTGGCTGTTTCTGCATAGTGTGCTTCTAGGACAGACATAGGACATAGTTTGGCACAAACTTCATTGCAGCTAAAGCTGGGATGTGGATACCCCTTAATACTTTACAGCAAATCGAACCCTGATCATTCCCTCCATGCACTGTGCTGCTTCATAGGGTAGATGTTTGCTTTGTGCTCAGGTGGCAAGGGAGTAGCCCTTAGGAGTCAAAGTGTAGAATGGGCTGGTGATCTAGAACCTTGGAAGACAGGGCAGATGTCTCCTAACTTCTTGTCTACTACAGTCCTGTGTAATACCAGATATTTATGTCTCCTGTACATGGAAGTGAGGGGAGCTCTGTGACCCCCATTGTATGCACCTTACGCGAGTAACAGCTGTATCACTCAGCTGTTCAAAGTAAAATTGCTGCCTGTTATTTTTAAGTATATGTCGTGTTCCATGTTTTCCCTGCTGGTGCGTCCTAGGAGCTGGCTTTCATTCAGGAAAGTTTTTAAGTATATGCTGGATGCCATTAGGTGTATACTTAAAATTCTTGAGT